GTCACGAATGCGTCCGGGATAAGGTTGTATTACTCGAGTGCGCACACAAGAAATGGTCATATTTTTAACGTAGTCCGAGCGTGCAGTCTCAGATTATTTAGAGTTACCTAGGGCCTAGGGCGCACCGCGAAAAATGAATTGGCTACACCACAAAAATATTTCGATATTATTATTTAATTAATTGTCTTTGCTTAGATACATTCTTTTTTAAACTTTGGGTAAGCGTATTAATTGTTATAAGTTTTCTGTTAAATACGATTGTTTTTTATATTATTGTATCTTGTTTAACTCTAACGATTGAATATAATTTGTTGATGAGACTAGAGAAGCCCTTGGTCTATGACGACAGCCGCGGTCCCTTCAACAACACCGGACGATTGAACCGTGGTTGATTTCGTGGTCGCGTTCGGGTTTACCACAAACCAGCTGTCGTGCTCGCGGTGGCCTTAATAATTTGTGGTGACTTATCGCTTTTTGCATGAACCGTTCCTTATGTGTTCGTATTCAGTTTCGTTTTTTGGTAGCGAGGTAAAGGAGAGGAGCAAAGTCGGAGCCATTCGTAATGACAGAAAACTAACATTCGGTCAGCCATACGGAGATGTTTTGGGTCTCTACTGTTTCCAGACAGCCAACGGGAACGAACGACTGCGGACCGTCCAAACGTTTGAGTAACATCAAATAAAATTTATATTGAGAGGTATAAGTACCTATACAGATTATTTATTTAATTACTTCACACCTAGCAGTTAACTTTTATTAGATTTTAAGCACTAGTGTCGTGAGCGATCTACTTTGGTGTACTTTTGATCTACTAACTCTTTTTTTGGCGATCTATACCGCCAATCTAACTACGATAATAACACGTTTAACATATATATATATATATATATATTATCATCCATGAATAATTATGAGAAATGCAGAAATATAGGGACCATCCTGCTGTCGCAGTTGTAAATGAAAAGCACACGTAACTTTGATTTAGCCATAAAACTGTCAAAGCCAGATTAAAATTTGTAAATGTTCACAAACTAAGACTCACGATAGTGGTGTAACGTACTCTCTTCACCGACTTCTGGTGGTCTTGCGTTCGCCATACCGATAGAGTTATGTTTTTATTAACGAGGTCTCGGGAACTCGACCTCGGTGTGTAATATTAATGTTACGGTCAAAAGCCGAAATCGGGCAAACCTCAGAAATGCCCGGGTAAAACGCAAATTGCCCACAATCCTTGGGCAAAATGTCATACGACTGTAGCGTTTTAAATAACCACTAATATTAAATACAAAAAAATAATAATCATAAAATATTGTACAGATATAATTAAATATACTTAAATAATAATACAAATATAATGATATTAAGTACTTGTATAAAAATAAACATATAATAATATTAGGTTCTCTATAATGTTAAAATAAATAATTAATACAAAATATTGTACAGGTATAATTGAATATAATAATAAAAAAAATAATATTTTTGTTTATTTGTTGCTACACATATTAGAACTACACAAAATTTAAAACGCTACAGTTTGACTCAAGTGAGGTTTAAATATATTAATTAAGTTTATTTAATTATATTTATACAATAATACTTATTTTATAATTATTAAATTTGTTTATAATATTAGTGAACGTATTTAAAACTCTACGGTTTTGTCCTTACGATGAAAGTCAGTATACGGTTTTGGCGGTTTTGCCCAAATGATGTTGGTCATAACTAGGTTTGCCCGGTCAAAAGCCGAAATATGACATTTTGCCCAAGGATTGTGGGCAATTCGCGTTTTGCCCGAGCATTTCTGAGGTTTGCCCGATTTCGGCTTTTGCCCGTAACATTTATACCTACTAGAGATCAGGGTTACCTTATTCAAGTAAATCACAATGTTATAAATGTAATGTATGTTAGGTTTAACAGATAATTTGTAATTAATATAAATAGAATATGGGTTATCGATCCAGGTAGATTTTGATAAGCCATGAGTGTGGATTGAGGGTGGCCGCACGGATCGTTTGAGAAGTCTTTTTTACCTACTGTCTCTGCTCCGTGTCGCACACTTCCTCATTATAGGTATTGGTAATAGTTATATACCTTAGAGTGCTGCCTAAAAGCATTAGGTCAACAGTAGGTCTTGCTCGCAATTCCTCATATTCAGCATTTGAACAACGTGTGCCCTACTTAAGGAATAATGTACGATGTTGATAGACGGCAATTGTTACAGTAGTAATATATAATTATTGTTTTGCATTGAATAAAAAGTGTAGTATATTAATTAAAAGAATAAGTAGGTATTTACATTACTTGTTTTTGTTATTTTTATGAAATAAATAAATTTGTAATTAGAATAGGTTAGAATATAGGTACCGTAATGTAACAGATTGTTTTTATACAGGCTTAATGGATAAACTTAAAATAGTGTTTACTATTTTTAAGAATTGTGTCCTGTAGGCCGCAATAATATGCTTAAATGTTTCCACCAAACAAGTTTCAATATAAAACATTAATAAAATTGATGGTCGTACGCAGATAAAGTTAACCCCTAAGTATAATATAAATATGGCGGAATAGGTGTCGCCGTGTTTCGGTGGCTATATTATTATACTACTTACACTCTAAAAAGGGATATTTTAGTGTAGTAAATTCACTTCAGAATTTGTGATTCTTTTCGGGAATTCAAGTTGGTTATATCATCATTATTGATATAATCTTATTATAAAAATTAAAAATAGTATCTTTAAATTAATTTTTATAGCAACAGTAGGTAATAGGTACCTATAATGACTACTTAATCAAAATTAAATTATAATATATGTAATAATACCACGTGTTCATTAGTTTAAGAAACACTCCATTTCTCGGCTGGATTATATTGAAATAAATTATTTTTTTTTCACAAATTAGTGGTATTTAAATACATATTTATAGATGAATTTTAAAAATTTTATCACTTCGGTATGCGTATGCGCAATAAAAAAAATATATATTTTTATTTTAATAGTATATTCAATACCATATTTGAATAGACCTAATTTTTTAAGATAATTTTGATGTATCAACTATGGTTGTAATTTAAAAATTGACTGAATAAAAGCCATTTCAATTTTAATAAATAATACATTTGTACAATTTATTAAAGTGCATAAAACCATTTATAATTATTTATTATTGGTTACTTGTTGAATACTTTGAATACTGTGTATTTTTTAGGAGAATGTTGATTTCTCACTTGCATTTATGTGGCTTATTTTAAAGTTAATATGTTTTAATAATTTAGGGTAGTAAATTGAGTTATTCAATCATTTAAATAAATATTTTAATTTATTCTTGGTAAGAATTTTTTCATTGTATAAAGTGGCAGTATTAAAAACCTTTCCACTCTTGTTTAACTTAAATGAGAAATTTTATGAATGTAGCATTGGTATGAGATAAAACCCAATTTGGGATCTAATAATTAATGGAGAATTTAATATTTTTAAAGAATCTTTATTGTAATAGTCTACATATACGCTTAATTAAATCTAGGTTTTTAAATGTTAGATTTCTAATATATTCTACGTGAATATATTATGAACTCTGAGTTAAATCTTACCCTATAAGATAATTAATAAACTTCTATTTTGTGGCCTAGTGTGGCGGGGTGGTTGGCTTCAGTCACTTATGTGATATGTGTTCTGAGCATCTGCCGGCGTCGCTAGCTCCGGATGGGTGACCAACCTAGTTCTTAGTGACGAATCCATGGTGCACACACATACACACACGTGTTCCAATCCTACTAAACAAACCTTACAAACAAAAACCTTTCACAGAGAAAAATCTATTGTTCCAATTCACAGCTAATGGCCTTAGTTTTCGGGCTTCAATGAGATCAATAAAAAAAACTCCTATTTTGGTATAACTGATTTATTTAGGAAATAATGTTCTGTATCAAATTTTTTCGTTAATCTAAGATAAACGGTGATGCAATTATATGTTTATATTTAAATTTAAATTATTCATTTCACATTGATAATAAGTATTATTTATATCAGATTGCAAGGCTACCGTGTCTTCTAATTTTCGTATTTCCTTAGATATTTTTTCATCATCTTAGTATTTATAGGTACTAAATTATTTAACATCTTACTTAGAACATGATTACCAGTTTCTGGGAAAAGAAAATTATTTTATTATATTATTAGTAGTTATTATGGTAGTTCTGTTTTTAACTTTTAATAGGCAATAATAATTAATATTAACTATGATGTTTCATTTATATTATTTCTTTACTATTCTTATGGCAAATATTAAAATAAATTAAAAATAGGCTTGTAAAACAAAAAAAAAAAATGTCGTGAATATTATTATTTTTGTACTTAGTAGTGTGTGTTGTTACAGTTTTGGGATGTGGGTAGATATTTTTTTGTACATTTAGCATTGAATGCTGTTAGTAATAATAATATTATTCTGTGAAATGAAAAAAATCCGTTAGTGGTGGCTTGAAATTGAATTTCTACCCTTGACAATAACCGGTTTGTGCAATAGTTTGATTCTTCACGGTGACAACCCTGTTGGATATACCTACACTATTGACACCCCTCTACGTTTATCTACCACGATAAGGAAACGTGGTATTCTATTATATTCCTTGTTTTTGTTGACTGTCTGGTTGGCCAGTCGACCCTCAGCAGTGTTACAGCTTGGAATTGTGTATCAAACAACGACTAATTTGCCTTACAGAAATTTAAAACTCAAGGTCACTCACCAATCGTTTTATTCACAAGTAAGAATACTTTTAAGTTATAATATTTAGTAGCTGTACAGGGTCACGATAATTTATCACATTACTATTGTATTCTCGCTAGTGGCGTCCACAGATTTTCTATGTTCCAGCGCAGTTAAAATTAAGGGAGAATATTGTTCATAAATATTTGATGGTACCAACCACGATGTTTCATAAAATTTTAATTTTTCGATATTATTCTTAAACAATTTGATACGATATTCCTAACACGTATTATTTATAGTATGAAAATTTTAACATGATAAAATTACAATTTTATGATGAGTTGTACATTTCCAGTGTTTGATCTAAGGTGGGTTACTAAAATGGCTCCGGGTGCCGCGTAAAACCAGTGTAATTCCCACTATATGATACTCTACGTGATCGAGCGTCACTGAGTTTTGCTGAGTCACTTTGGAAGTCATGTAACCTCACATGTTTCACTCAATTTCATCCATTTGAGTTTAAGAAGATTAAAATATTAAGTAATTATGCTTATTAGTAGTTTAACATTTTGTAACAACAATCATGGCAATAGTTCATCCATTTATTTTAGTAAAATAGAATTTTATGTCTCATTATATTATATATCTTTATATTTATATCTATTTTAAGTATTTTATATTTTATATGATATGTTTCCTTAATTTAATGTTTAAATAACTTAAATATATTTTTTATACTTATATACTTATTTTTATAAAAGTTTATTGTCTCTGAAATTCCACAAGAATGGAGGAATCGCTTATTTTGCCGCTATAATTTGGGCTTGTGTGTTAGATGTACGCTATACATAAAATTGTATAAATATTTAAACATTTGGAATTTTAGTATTTCTATAATGTTGAATAAAATAAATATTATTAAAATTTTGTTAAATTTGTTTATTTAGAAATTTCACGGTGCAAACGACAATGGGCCGCCTACCAAGTTTTATTAAAAAAGTTGATAATTTAAATTGTGATTACAATAATTGTACGTGGATATGTTTTATCTGTAACACACATTTATCCATAAAAAAAGAGGCATATTTACATCCCTCTAAGTGTGAGCTGCTCAAAAATTTAAGAACTACAAGGAGAAAGTCAGGTTATATATCTAAAATATTTGAATTAAACCTTTTTCTACTATACTTAATACTACTTCATAAATACATAGAATTTTCCAAGTATTATATCATTATTTGGGTATGTTAGTAAATTAAATAAAGTATTATGCTATGTAGATTGCATAAATAGAATAAATAGCGAAGAGAGGTGGGTTTTTAAAGTTATTTAAAATTATTCTTTAAAGTATAATTTTTCAAAAACATAATATTAAAAAAAAAAACATTGAAAAATTGAAGTACATTTCTACTATAAAAACAATAATTTTTATTTTGTATTTTAAGGTTTTGTAGTAAGTATTATACTTACTAAAAAGTAAAGGATATTAAGTATTGTAATTAACAGGGTCAGACTTAAGTAGGTATTGTAAGTATGTTATTTTGGTAAAATATTTAGTGACAGTTTCAATCAGAAAAGATGTATTAATTAAATTAAATTATATGCATTGTCTTCAGTATATTAATTTAACTATCTGTAAATAATAAAAAGACAATCAAAATTATATATACACTATAAACTATAGTGTTAAATTATGGTTTGAGTTGTTAATAATAATGTAAATTTAAATAAATTATAAAATAATTAGACTTTATCTAATTTTTTTAATGACTCATCAACTACATTTTAAAGTTAATTCTTTTTTAATTCCTAGTTTACTCTTGCAAATTTAAACATTATAAATTATTTTTTAATATAATCTAAAAGAAATTATGTTTTGTATTAATAGTTTAGTTATATGAAAGGGTGATCTAGTTATTAAGTTTTAGGTTCTCCACTGATGATACTTATAAATTATAATATTTGTATTACGTATTTTACAAATAATTTCATCAAAAAATATATTTTATTAAAACGTTAAAATTTTAATTTTTCAGGTCGTCTAATTAATAACAAAACAATATTATGTTCCACAAAAAAATTTAAGCGAAATACGTACATAATGAATGGAGCTACTTGTGGAATTTTGTTTTATAAGCAAGCGTTTTATAACGTGATAAATACTTGTGCTTTTGACTCGATTTTAGTGGGGATAGTGGTCGCCTACACGGATTATTCAACTTTTAGCTGCAGCGTAGATAATATTATGGACAATAAATTTTTAAAAATGGCGAAAAGTTTGGCTTTACAAAATCAGAAAGACAAACAATTATTTTATTTACAAAGACTTGATCTACTGCAACAGCATTTTAAAGTCCAACCTAATGAACTCGGTATTAAAATTTTAGATGCAATGTCTGATCTGTATAAAATAGTTAAAGAATATTTAAAGGCAATGCCTAGTGCCACACAGATTTTTGAATGTTCAAAAAAATGTTCGAAGAAAGACAATTTACTTTCGTCAACGATTGTTTTATCGTCTGATGATATATTACCCATGTCAGTTAATGATTCACCGGAAAATGAGAATTTATCATTCAAAAACTTAGGAGAGTGGGTTGAAAAATATATGAAATCTAAAATGTATCCTTGCAATAATCCAAAGTGTACTGCAGGAGTCATAACAACATACAGAAAACTAGAAGACACATTATTTATTGAAGTTGATCATATTGTAACAGGCGAAGAGAGAGCCATTAAAAAAAACATCTAAATTAAGTGATTTTCCAGTAATCATTCATTTAAATAGTAACCAGTAAGTTGATACTATTCTTATTTTACATCTTTTATAAAATATATTACTTAGTACTAAAATGAATTAATTTTAGACTTATCAATACATTTTAATAAACAGATAACAATTGATAATATTAAAAATTAACCATGAGGTAAATTTTTTCAATTTCAGCTACATTTTGGTCTCAATAATCCATTATTACAAAGAGCATTATGTTACATATATCCGACGAAGAATTAATCGATGGGAATTGCACGATGATCTGAAGGCAACAGTTACTAAATTTGAAATAGAAACTTGTGTTAATCCTCACATGGTTATGTACACAAAAATATAAGTTTTTTAACCATTTTAATTTTGCATTTTTTCGGTAATTTTAGTCTTACGGTCATTTTTTACTGATTTAGGTCATTTTATGTATTCTGGTAGATATATTTACATTTTTAAAATTTTTCTTTTATATTGTTTCGACAAAACTAAGTATTTGAAAAAACTAATATATTGTGTAACCCAATCCATCAGTTATTTTTTGAAAAATTTTAAATATCGATTCCTTTTTTGTAATTATTTTGTATTACTGACATTATTTCTTATTTCCGTTTTAAATTTAATTTAAAATCTGAAGTCTCTAAAAAACATTATTAATCTATAAAAATATTAGCATTGTTTAAATTTAGTTAAATAAAATAATAAATGGACTATTTAAAAAATATATTAATTTGAAACAATAATTTGTTGAAGTCATTTAAATATTTATTTTTTTGTGTACATTTTTTAAAGATTTTTTGGTCATCAAGTTCCAGGTCCTATAATAGCATATTTTTTATTGCGATTAATAGAATTGCAATTGTAGGATAATGTTTTCTTTTTAGCTTATAATGTAGAACATAGTTTTTTTTAGTACAAAGTGTTTTTTAAATGAGGCATATAATATATTTTATAATCTATTACCATCACACCATTATGATAAAATCAGTATCTATTTATTTTTTATTTTTTTTTTACTTATTCCAACAAATTAAATATTATTCAATTATAGTAATACACAAGTAACTGGATATTTTTAAATAGTTTGAATAATCCTACTTTATTTTAGCTAATTAGGTTATAATAAAATAAATATGTTTTATAACTATAAAGTGTGAACGCAAGGGGGTTTTTAACCCCCCCCCCCCCCCCACCACGAAATACATTTTACATATTTACAAAAACAAATTACATGAAATACACATGTATAACTAATGAATAAATTAAAATAAATTATTAGTTATGAAACAATATTATAATAATATTGTAATATAAATAATATAATAGGTATCTAAAATAAATACAATATGAATAGTATGATATTTATGAACATTTTTTCAACCCCCTATCCCCTCCAAATTTTTTTTCTACCTAACCTGCTTTTGCGCATGATAACTCTACTTGTTTTAATACTACTCTGTTACACTAACTCGCTCTTATTCAGACTACGGAAATCGCGTAAAATATAAAAATGATAAAAAATATCAAGATACTCTAATGCTTCTTAAAATGTTAAACATTAAATATTAATAAATGCATTTTTAATCCACTGTACGTTATAACACAAGAACCTTGTGTTATTTCAATTGCGGTATTTGTAGGTCTTTTTTAGAGCATTTTAAAACATCATATTTTAAATTTACTTAGTATAAAAAATTGGATATAATTATTATTTATTATTATTATTATAAAATCATCAACAGGCGACAACAATTTTTGACACCTTAACCAATATTGTGTATTTAGTTGCATTATACCTATCTACGGCGCAGCAAGTTTTTCAATCGCCTCAGTCTACATATACCGATGGTTGCCTATCTCTTAAATTTACGAGTCCCTAACCAATATAATATAATAATATAAGTTTATTGTACTAGTAACTAGTATTCACTTTTTATGATTAGCAAAACCTGTTTCCATTACTATTAACTATTACTTGGAAGTATTAACACATAAAAAGACTTGTAAAACTTGTCTACAACTTTTCTATTCCGATTATGGTATATTTTTTAATAAGAGTTCCAGTTCCTCGGGACACGGTAGTTTAGTATTTCGAGTTGTTTATCTAAGTCTCCTTCATAACCTCTAATTAAAAATATATCATCTCTAGGAATCTCTAGAGCTACGCTTTTGTTATGATATTAACTTTATAAATTTTATAGAAGCCGTAAATTATTTTCAAAAAAACTAAGACCTATCTTTTCGCATTAGAAGTTATTGAAATCGAGAGAAGATCAATTTTTCAAGTTACAAACTTAAATTTAAGTTACTCTTTTATCTCTAAAATGACGGTTTTTTAATAGAAAACTTGTCGTTTTATGAGAATTATTGTACATTTTCTAAAATAGTGTTACTTAGTTAGAAAGTGACACCAATATTTTTTTACAAACTTCTACTTAAAGTAGTAAACGAGATATACGAACTTGGCTATTATGCATAGAATATTATTGTTTGTGTGCTGTCACCAATGCATGATTTGCTGTTCATAAATCAAAAAAGTTATTTGAACTTTTTACAAAAATAAAAATCGTTAGGTTTACGGCTCATGTCAGGCACGGTTGAAATGGTTCACTGACAAAATAAACCTTTATATTTCGATAAATTCGTGTTGTCTACATCTTATAAGCACACCATAACGGGCATAACGCAATCATTTTATTTTTCAAACCTCAATGTAAAATATTTAAGTGAATTTCTCTATTATTTAACCAATTTTAAAGGCAAGAGAGTTCTAGGGAGTTTCATAAGTTTTTATTGATATTTTAGTTTTAAAGTGAGTTATAAAATATAACTATGTAAAATATTGTAATTTTAAAATATTCATAACTTACTTTAAATAACTATAGTATTAGATCTCATTCACTGCAAAACGTATGACAGGTATATAGCGTTTTTTGATTTACATTGTTGAAGTTCGTATACGCCATCAGCATAATGTGTTTACAGCTTTTTAGTTTTAATTCGCATTCATAGTATATGATTAATATCTTATGAGCTTAAGCTTATAAATATATTTTACGCGTATTAAAATTTACAGATTTATTTATTATAGACTATAATGCTCAAATGTGTTACTCATAAATAATTAGTATCCAAACGTAGGTATTATGATTATTTACTATACGATAATACCTTCGCTGATTATACTTAATACGGGCACTGTTGTTATTCATTTTTTTTTTTTTATTTGAAAATATAATGAAAAATTTATATTTATTTTAGATTTATTGGTAAAATACTGAAATTATTTTTAAGCCAGTAAATAGTAAAAACTATCACATGAGTTGTTTGTATTCTCATTCATGATAATATAGAATATAGATCATCTATTTTCACAATGTATTTTCAACTATCATAACTCATGGCAGTTATATTTTTAATTTTAATTTTGAAGAAGATCATTGTTATAACTTATAAGTGTCTTACTGTCTACTAGAAGATTTTTTATTGATCATAATGTAAATCATGTATTATGTACAGAGAGAAACGGACAAATAAGGTTTATAAGATGGAGATTATTAAATTTTATACCAGCTATAGTTAAGATAAATGTTATTTCAGTTATTAAGAATTATTAATATACACAGTGGCGTTTTAATTTATAAATAAATTAAAATAAGAACTATTTAATAATAAATCTAGAGATTATGAATATGTAGTAAATCATTATAAATACTATGATAATAAGTGTAAAAGGAAATAAATAACAGTATAAATATTTAAACGTAAAAATTAGTCATAAAATAGTTTAAATACCAATCAGTGTAGATAAAAAAGTTATGATTAAAAGTACTAGAAATTAACTAGAAAGTATAAAGTATAAAATATATAGAAAATTAAAATCTTAAAAAAAATAACGCAACGGTAAAATCATTTTAAAGATCAATTACAAGCAGTTTTTTAAATATCTTCAAAATTCAAATGCAAAATAAATGAGCAACATTAGGTTAATTTTAAAAATTGTAAAATATTATACTATACGATTTTTCAGGATTTCAGGTTCGAATTTTATTGCAACTAATTTCAAATCTATGAACAAATCAGCCATCTTTTAAATATAATAAACTTGTTTATATTTCTTATAATTTTGATTTATGTAATTTAATTTAAATTTAATGAAATATCTAAAAATCTTCTTTATATTAATGGTTTCGTCGTCAACGAATTTAAAATCAATAATAATAAAAAAAAGTTGTGAAATGTATTAAGCATACTATTTCATAATCTGTTAACCAGTAGGTCTAACTTCTAATGCAAATGATAAACGAACACACATAAATATAATAAAATACTTTTATTATGGAAACGAAATAAAAGTAACGATTGGAATAACTATGAACTAGATTTTTTTTAGGTCAAAATGCACTTAATGTTTTGTACGCGAGAGTTAAAAGTTTGATGAAGATGATGACCTTATTTCTACAGACAGATATTACGTTATATTTTATAAAAACGTTAAGATTTTTTAAATAATCATTAAAATGTTATTAAAAATTTATTCACTGAAATATAAACTGTTCTATAGAATTTTCTAGCCGCCAAAGAAATATGGAATTTCATATGATGAAAATCCCTTATTAATATAGTATATTTCTGATATATCACATGAACATTTTTTAAATTCTCTTCCTTTCTCCTA